ATTTTATATATTAGTGATAATGCTAGCTATATGAAAAAATCATTTTCAGATGTTTTATCACCGTTAATGCCACAAATTCGAATTATTTGTCTATTCATGGTGAGTACAAATTCACGCATGACTATTGTAACTACTTATTAAACCACTTTCCCTGAATAAGTTAGGACTCCACTGTTAGGGTACTTCTATATGAGATATACAGTACTTAACCATAAATCTACATATTTATATTCTTTTAACTATAAATCTACATATTTATATTCTTTTAACTATAAATCTACATATTTATATTCTTTTAACTATAAATATACATATTTATATTAGAATAATATTATTTATATTATTATTATTTTCATTTGAAGGAACACCTTCTCCTTTGTTATCGTTATTATATATTAGGTAGGTATCAAATGATTAACGATCATGCATTAAAAGAGATTTAAAGCTGCCATAAAGTGGCATTGGAAATTTTTGTCTACTCTCTCGAAAACACCGACTAATCATATCAGCAAAATGATTTCTCGCCAGATAGCACTTACAGTTTCCTATCTTTCGATCCTTCTAATATCATGCGTTTCTGGTACTCATTATCTTTTCTCAGCATACAGTACCGAAATACAAGAAAGGCTAGGTTTTAGTTCTATACAAATAAACACTATTGGGAGTGCTTGTAATTATGGTGTATATCTGGGCAAACCAGTTACCGGCTATTTTGCTGACCATTATGGTGCTAGAAGGTTTGATTTATTCTCTTCAAATTTATATAATTTATTTGCAATATAAAAAAAAAAACATTAATTCTCCTAAATTTTTAATAGAGTATGCCTTGTCGCATCAATCCTCATTTTTTCTGGCTTTTCCTGTCTTGCATTAACTTATGAACAAATTTTTCCACCATCGGTTTTTTTAAGTGCTTTTTATTTGTTTTGTACTGGTGTTGCCTCATCAGGAGGTACTGTATTTCACTTTGATCGAGTATGAGTGCTTGAATTGAATGTATTGATAAACATTTATACATCAACTCTAGGTGCGGTATCATTTCTCACAACAATTGTAAGTCTCCCTAAAATACAGAAATATCGAAAGTCTTTCTATTGTATTATATAAGCATACTTAGATGTCTTGTGTAATTTAGGCAAAAAATTTTTCTACACATCGAGGTACCGCAATAAGTATTCCACTCGCGTTACTTGGCCTCTCTGCATTTATATACTCTCAAGCAAATATATATTTGTTCGATGACACCTTCCATTTTTTACTCTTCGTGGCCTTCACTTCCGGACTATGTATGTTTGTTGGTAGCTTGTTTTTAATTGTCATACCAGCTCCTCACCATACATCCAGCGCCATTGAATCGGGCGGTGATGATTCAATCTTTATAGAAAGTGATAATGAAACCTCCGTAGATAGTGTTTCGTCACCTGCAAAAGGGATGAACACTGAACAAACTCCTCTGCTTAATAAAAATGTTTCTACCTCTTCCTCCATAAATGCTAACGTTGACAGTGAGCCAGATATAAGTGGATGGCAATTACTTCATAATAAAGATGCTATCTCATTAATCCTTATCTTAGTATTTTTAGCTGGAACTGGATTAATGTACATAAATAATGTCGGTACAATCATTGAATCCCTTTATCATGCCTCCCCAGCTCATCCTTCTCATCCTTATTCCACCTCCCCATTAAACACTTCCCTACAAACTACATTCAATGACGACATCAAACACCTTCAATCTTTTCACGTCTCACTCCTTTCAGTATGTTCATGCCTCGGAAGAATTCTCATAGGCCCTCTTTCAGACATAGCAAAAAATTATTTCAATCTATCTAGAATTTGCGCTTTAATATTTGCTGGTGCTTGGCTATTTTGTGGACATTTATTGGCCCTTTTATGGGCTCGGACTATAGCCCAGCTATGGATTGTTACAACTTGTATAGGACTTGGCTTTGGGATCTTGTATGGGGTTGCTCCAACTACTTGTAGCGAGTATTTTGGTTCGAAACGGTTTGGATTTAATTGGTTAGTTTTTAAAATATATACTTAGATTTAATGCAAAAAAAATACTTATTTACACATCTTATATTCAAATCTAATTTGATTTTTTCTTATATATTTCAAAAAGGGGTTTAATATCTTGCGTAAGCATTTATTTCATTTATTCACTGAATATTTAAACTTTCTAACTCACTAATCTTTCCCTTTCTTCCTTCGCACAAATAGTTTCCAGCTGTAGGTGCTCAAGGTTTTAATCTTTTATTCGGTTATAACAACGATTTGCATAGAGACCATTGTACAGGCGCAGACTGTTATAATTTTGCTTTTTATTTTAGTTCTTTGGGTTGTCTTATCAGTATTTATATTTCTTATCGTTGGTTTGCCAAAGTTCAAATTAAGATCTAAATGTTACGTTTATGTACAGCTATAAAAACAAACTATTCACGATCTTTATCTTAGTGATAGCTTATTTTCTAACTGTACATGTCTTTTTTAGTATATATAGAGTTTTTTAATTGGTAATTTTTTAACTTGTAAAAATTTTCTTATATATTTATAATAAAAAATGCGCCAAAAAATAAACCTTGTGGTTTGCAGTAATATTTATATTTATTGTCGTGGATGATCGTGAAATCGGATGATGCTGAAATCGATTTTAAAATATAAGATCTGCTAAAATCCACATATACTTTTTAATTATAAATTCTAACCCTAAATCCTAACCTAACCCTAAAGAAAAGGCGCAGCATCATCCGATTTTAGTATCATCATCCGTGACATTTATTTCATTTATTTTGAAGGATTGTTTGTTTTATCGCCATAGCGATGTATCGCTACCCCTAAGATTTAGTTGTCGCGACATGTGATGTCGGGATTTCAATATTCAAACTCTTAGATTACTAATCATAAGTGGAGTTTAGAATATTAAAACCCCGACATCACGCAATGCGATAAATTGAGACTCGATAAGGGAAGAAGGAAAGGAAGCCCTGCTTTTAAACTTATACAGGAGGATCCCAAAATTCCGCATCAGAAATCTGATCGGCTGTGCCGGAATTGATAATTTTGCCCAAGACCATTAAAAATTTACTAATGAAATCATAGCCGTTCTTTTAAGTTAAAAAATGCCATTTTGTCATAGACTGTGACTAACCCTTATTGCTAAATGCCAACTCATACAGGGGGATCATGGTCGGATGTGCCAGAAATTAATTTTGCCCAAGACCACTAAAAATTTTACTAATACCCAACTGATAATTTTGCTATAGACTATGTTGGCTAACATTGCTTAATCTGGCCCAGTTCTGATGCATTCTGATCCGGAATTTTGGTGATCCCTCTGTAAGGGGATCCGCTTGTAAATATATTAAAGTATTGGCTTTGTGATAGTTTTCTATTAGCGCACCGTAAGTAAAAATTATTGGTTCATTATTGCGTGATAAATTATGTATAAGATATTGGTCATTCAACGATTAATATCATGAAATTTGCTCCGACAGAACGAATTTTGTGATATTTTGTCATCGCATAATCTGATCCAATATGATGTCATCTTGTAAATTATGACAAGTTTGGGATAGTTGTGCTTACGTAATAATGTACCAAAATCTATGATTTTAAGAGTTTGCACGATAACGATAATCAAATATATAAGGGAGATAGGGGCCTTTAATATAGCTAATAAAATATGATTTAATGATTAGAATTAAATAATTTTCTAATATTATTAAATTTGTCTATTAAGATGAACCAAATAATGTTAAAATTATTTAATTAATTAACTGAGTCAAAAGATACATATAATTACTCTAACGATTATTATAAACTAAAAAATTGGGTAGATGGTATTGTGGTCAATTTTTTGGCAGTGAATAACTTTTGATTCACTAGTCCATTTTGGATGATTTTTCCACCAAAATGACCAGCTCAGTGAGACGATTCTAATGAGCCCGAGATCTTTAAAATCCAATCACGGGATCCTGAGATCGTTATATTAATTGTCACGGATTATCGTGAAATCGGATTATCGTGAAATTTGGATCTATTTTATGTACGATTTTTAAAATTTT